GAAATGTATTCCCATGTTCCAGAGCTAAGAAAAGCATTGCAAAATTCCCTTAAGTAGTAAAATTATAGGATTCAGACAAGTGCTATGTACTGTGTCCTAATACATGCTATTTGTATGCATGTTTGAAATCAGAACTTGACCTAAAACATGAGGTTTATTTAACCAGAATGTTTCAGTCAGTTCGCTCAGGTTTACTGGGCGATGTACTCTGGAGTTTAGGGGAGGTGTGTGTGAAATATTTGGTGCCTAAAGAAACTAAAAAATGTTTGAAAGAAATAATGAAGACAGTGTTTCCCAAAGTATGTTCAGAGGAACACTGGACATGACAGATGTCCAGAAAGTCAAGTTTCCATGGCCAAACAAGTTTGGGAAGCACTGTGTATTCTCTGCCCCTTTGGAGAACAATAATAATATCACCATATTAAAGACTCTGAAAGGTCTCATAGTAGAGAAACATATTAACTTTATTTTACCTGGATTTTCAAATGTGCTGGTCTTTGAATAAGAACCTGGTACCAACCCATAGAGCACATTCTGAGCAACCCCCAGACTAAGACATTTATGATGCTTAAAATGAACTATGATAGGAAATTCTGTTTCTCATTTGGAAGCATACCATATAAATCCAATGCAGAGAAATGGCATACTTTTATTATTTTAGGTTGAGAAATGAAAAAGAATTGCATCCTTATGACAAATGGAAAATGAATCCGATTTGCTTGACTTGCCCAGTGATTTTTAATTTTTAGAATCTTCTATATAAACTAGCAATTATGATGATGCAGCCATCGAATGGTATGTAATTATATCCATGAAATAATGGATAAGGAGCACTTTTTTCAAATGAAAAAAATTCCCTAAAGCAATTATTCGATGATGAAAATAAATTAATTTAATTCAGTGCTTAAAGAATGAAAATTACTGTGATCCCTGAAGCAATGTATATGCATATATAGGTTCTTTTATGTGAAAAATTACAGCAGAAAAATGCTAAAATATTAAGAAAATGTGGCACCCGGTGCCTTTTCTCCTATAAATTCAATCTTACAGCTTAAGATGGTAAATTTCCAGAGAGGCTGGTAAGCAGATGTTTCATAGCCAGTAAGAGATGGGATCAGGATTCGGGCCAAATACTCTTGTCTCTGGGGCCCACACATTTAACCCCTAACTAGAGCTGTGAACAGCAAAAAAAGAAATTTAGTAGCAATGGCAGTTCTTCATTTTCTCTCCCCCTTCTCCCCACTGCCCCAACCACCCAACAAAAGTAAATTTATGTTGTAAAATTCTGAAATGCCATCTTAAATACTCTAATGGTGGAGAATACTTTACTAAACTATACTCTTTCTATATGACAGTTGTATTTTAGAATATTTCATGTTAGCACTGGAGAAGTGCTCTCTTTTACTACATTGTTAAAATTGCTTTGATCTCTTAGGCCCCATCTGTACAAAAATATTCACGATAACAGTTGGTGTTATTTGTCAAGAAAGTAGCTGCTAGTGATGACTGATCATGCATTTAATCCAGTTGGTTCTGTGGAGACAGACTGTTAACATAGCCCCCAAATCATAAGTTGATCATAAAATAGTTTATTTAATGGGTATTTATAGACACGTGCTCCGGTTTTCATAATGGTTGTTGTGGCATAGAATTGCAAATGTTTCATAAAATTTAGGTACTTGCTCTTTTGATGTACGAGATCTTACCCCAAACTTTGAGAATAAAATTGGGGGATCAAGTAAATAAGAGTATAACTCCTCTGCTGATTTATAAAATTTCATTCCCTATTAACGTTGCTTAGTCATGGTTTGCTGTCTGAATGTAGGGTGGGCCTAAATGTAATTACTGAGTCTTGTCATAAAGTTAATCCTGAAAAATTAATTAATTGCCACAGTCAATAATAAGATAATCATAAAAGTAGACTTTTAAATTTTACTTAAAATTTAAAACTATATCTGACAGGAAATGTATTATTAATTTTGGAAATGGGAGAGGGGAAATTATTTCTTATAACTGAGATATGACCAAACTTCTGTATTCTGTATTCTGACTCCTCCTCCGAAGAGAAATTGGTGTTCTTAGGACTTAGAATCTCTCTCTCTCATGGTAAGAAGGGTGGGTTGTTGGATGGAGAGTTCAGGTAGGTTTAATGTTCTTTTACCTGTCTAATAATAACTAAGGCATTGCTGAAACAGCCCTTCCTGAGTAATTCTTGAGACGTGAATTTGGACTTTGACACGTCTTGCAGGATAATATGTGTACTCACGCTGTGTGATTGCCCATATAACATGAACACAGAGTGCTAGAATGCCCGGTTCACAAGCAATTTTCAAACAGACCAGCTCTAGAGATGTATCACCTGAAGGAGGCCATTCTGTGCTTGCATGAAGCCCACCAAGTTTTCCGAACTAAGGCTTCCATATCCTGGCGTCCTCTCCAAGGCTGTCTTTATCTCATCCTTGTGTTTGTATTCAGCTCCTTCCAAGTTCTGTTCACTTTCTGTCTCCCCCAACAATATGACCAATGCAGCAAATATTTTGTATAGTGGCTGCCACCATTTTGGACCCTGAGGTGATACAAAGGACCTCATCAGCCTTCTTGACTGACCATGTAGACCAAGTCGATCATTAGTTAAATACACAAGGAACCTGTTCGAGAAACTGTAATTGAATTTGTCTTTAATTATAGTTAACTCCCTCGGTTCCAGCTCAGCTGAACACCACCACATCCACCTTGACTTTAGAGCAAGTGATGATTTTTTTTTTTTCTATCAATAAATTCTGACATAATCTAAAATTCTCAACTTAGCTTAAAAGCTAGATTTATGGGCCCAGGCTGGAGGTAATGATGTCATAACTGATATTTTTAGAATTTTGCTACAGTCTTTTAAAATATTTCTGATTAGAGAATTTGGGGTTAGATATTTCTGCAGTGGGAAAAAGGCAATTGATATAAAAGGGAAAAGGAAGAATTTTACCTCAGAAATAAATGAAATGTAGCATAAAATTACTATTTGACCGTTTTCAATGATGCTGCCAAACCTAGAAATCATGTGTCATTTAGATATTTTGAGCCTTGGACAGTTGCAGAGAGAGTATTCACTTATTTCATCAGTCAGTGCCAAAGACCAATTGTATAATAATGTAATGATACCTGTAGCCCTTATAGAATTTTTTCTAATTTAAATTTTTTAATGGACTCATTTTATATAAGGTCAGTTTTTTTAACATTTGCCTAATGTTCTTTCATGGTCTTCAGAAAGTCCTCATTATAATTTTTTTTAAATTATCCGTTGGAGATTTTACTCATGGGAACCAAAAGTAGGTTTCATGAAAATCTCTGGCCTATACTCCTGAATAAATAACCACTGAAAACATACAGACGTTCTGAAATCAAACCTCCAATCTTTTTTTGTTTTTACCATTTTTAAATAATATGATCTCAATGGTATTGCACACTTTTTTAAATAATACACTGAAAATAATTTAACTCTTTTTTGAGGACTGCCTGCCTAGCACAATGCCTTATGTATGGGAGGCGTCTGATATGTTATACATCTCCTGTCCTTTTAAATGTGATATAAGACAGCATTGTTTCAGGGACCGCTGAAGTTTGAAGGTCTGTTTGCACCTATACTAAGGATCCCAGACTGTTGTCTTTTTGTCATCGGTGATTATTCTCTGCTTCCTCACTGTCTTACGCCATTGCTTAGGGCAAAGTGGTTTAAACCACTTCTTCCTCACTTCAGATTTTCTGCGAACTCTCAGTACGGCCAGAACTGAAGATCACCAGAGGAAATGAGATGGCTACCTGGAACATCATGAACCTCATTTGTTTACCCAGATCTTTGTAGACTCTTTCTAGCAGAGGTCTGTGGGCTCTGATCCGCAGCCGGAGGCTCGTGCCTGTGTTTCGTGCGGGTATTGTTCCATACACAGTGTGAGCTTTCGTCTCTCCTTTTCCCTCCAAGCTCCTAACTCCAGCTTCACAGATGTGTTTCCCATGACATAGACAAGTTATTTCCTCTGCGCCTCAGGTTCCTTAACTGTAAAATGGGGATGTTAACAGTATCTGCCTCATCGGGTTGTTATGAGGATTAACTGAGTTAATAGTTGTAAAGTTCTTAGAGCAGAGGTGCATAGTAAGGGTTAAATAATTAAAAAAAAAAAAGATTCACCTCTGGATAAATGACTTTTAAGCTTCTTAAAAGGAAAGAGCTGAGAAGATGCTTCTTCTAATAGAGGATAATTTACACTTTCTTTTCCAAGGTAGGAATGGAGTGATGTGGAGGAATTTGTATCTGAAGGAGCAGAACTGAAAGGTATTTCCTAAAATATCTGTAGGAAATGCTGGCGGTGAGCCTGGGTTCTGACTGGATGAAGTAATATACGGAAAGATATTCATAGCAACTCCTTTGTGGCTCTTCATAGTAGATTTTAAAAGGACACAAGAGAAATAAACTGGAAATATATGGATAGGGAGGGAATTGGGGGCAAAGCTTATGCCAAGAGTTAGCAGTTATCTTCTGTATCTAACAAAGGCTAAAATAGAGTGATTCTCTCAGCAGATTTTATATACATATATATATATTTTTTTTTTTAAACACTTTTCTGACTTATGTGTTTTTCTCAGCTTTTTCTGTGGTGAAGGGCACAGGTCATCTGCTTTGTTAAAGAAAGCAGGCACCACCTTTGTGTGGCATGTGCGAGGGGGTGCTGTGCTGGCCACCGTGAAGCTTGGAACCCCTTTGTGTTGTCCCAGGTGTTTCTTGGGAGCTTGGGTGGTAGAAGACTTACAGTGTCCTTAACTTGTCTCTGCCTGACTGCACGGACAGGGACTGGCCCTCACATTCCTGGCGCAGGGCTTGGTCGCTCATTCACTCTGATGGCCGCCCTTTGCCCCAGCTCCCTTGGCCGGAGGCAGCTCTGTTGTAATTTGCTCTTAGGCTCAGAGGTGCAGCCCTGTCAACCTGCAGTGTGTGTTTATCTTATAATCCACAGACAAGAAGAAGGGAGGCAAATTCCAGCCTTTTAAGAAGTTGTTTGGCAAAAGGAAAAAGAAAGACACTTCGTTGTCCCGGGAGGCATCAGTGGGGAAGAAGAGTCACTCTCCCCAGAGTGTCAGCAATGGGACCTTCTCTTCGGATGAGGAGACCCTGGAGGACAATCTAAGGTATTAACTCACACTTTTTTTTTCAGATCTTCGGTGGAGTTCCGGGGTGGGGAATAGGATCCCAAAGGAGGCAGGAGTGGAATCACAGATGTGTTTCATCTCTGGGAAGGTGGAAGGCTTGGGGTACTTGGTGTGTTCTGTGCGGAGGAGTCACCTTGGGGAGTTGGTAAACGAGTCTGGACTCGCTTTCCGGGGAGCACAGGGATCTGCCTTCATTTCACTGCCCTCACTGGTGGTAGAAGGCAGCACCTCACTGGCTTGGCTCAACAAGGTTCCTCGGGTTGAAGGAGACTGCGTTCCCGTGTCCCATTGCTTGGCAGAGAGAAAGCGTGGTCGTAGATTAGATTGTACACCTGTATTGAGGGTGCAGCCCGCTCAGGCACAGGGTGGTTACCCTTCATACCCCTGTCCTCTGGTAACTTCCAGAACCTGTCTGTGATGGAGCTTTTAACTTTTGCTCTTTGTGGTTTGTGTTTCTCTCTCTCTGTCTCTTTCTCTCTTTCCCCTGCTCTTAGAACACAGGCGCTAAATCTGGCTGTGACGGGGTCAAGTACTCAGGACAGCACGGTCAGGAGGTGTTTTTACACATGAGCACCGGGAATTGAAGTCAGAGGCAGAGGTAGTTAAACTCTGCTCCTGACCGCTTAGAAGGCAGCTCCTTTGAGAAGCCTTTTCCCACTGTCCATCTGATTTGTGTGCCGTTGCGCACGTTCCCCCAGCATCACATGCCAGCCTCCAGCAAAGAACTTGTCGCTCTCTGTGGAAATGACTGATTTGCTTGTCTGTCTCTCTCACTCAACTCCCAGTTCCGTAAAGTCAGGGACCAGGTTTTATTTCGCTTCATCTTAGGTGCTAAAAAAAGTGTTTCCCCAGCAGGCCTGGTGTTGCAAGTGGTTAAGTGCGCACCCTCCGCTGCGGCGGCCCGGGGTTCACAGGTTCGGATCCCGGGCACGCACCGACGCACCGCTTGTCAAGCCATTCTGTGGCGGCGTCCCATATAAAGTGGAGGAAGATGGGCGTGGATGTTAGCCCAGGGCCAGCCTTCCTCAGCAAAAAAAGAGGAGGATTGGCAGATGTTAGCTCAGGGCTGATCTTCTCACAAAAAAAAAAAAAAAAAGTGTTTCCTATGAATGCCTGATACTGCATAGATTGACCTAATACATGTTGAAGGAATAGATGATGTAATCTGTGACATTCTTACTGTGATATTCTCACAAGCACAAGGACAAAAACATCCTCTGTGGTGCGTCAGTAGGTGTGGTGTGTTGTCAACTACAGTTGAACCTAAATTACAAAATCCTCAGGCCAGCAGTGTGCATGAAGCTTTACCCACTGACAGCGTTTGTTAGTCCTGACTAATACTGACTCTGGTCCTCCACAGACCTGTAGTTGTTTTCCGTTGTCTTTAGTAAGAAAGCTATGGAATTGAACCTAAGGAAATGATTTCACTGACAGGAGAGCACGGCTAGCACTGGACTCACCCAATTGTGGGACTGTCAGTACTGATATCTAGTTGAGTATTGTCCAGTGTGAATCAGTGTTGATTTTACTTCAGTTTCTTCAATTGTAAAATAAAAATGTGAACCTTTTGCCTCACCGTGTCACAATGAGGTACAAATACTGAAATGTGACTAAGCAGTTTAATGCAAAATGAGGTTGAGTCTAGAAAGCTCTCCCTCAGAAGGACTGTCCTATGAAAACACAGCTTGTCCTTTTTATAGTAGGTTATGGTTTTGCCAAGTCCCTGATTTCTTATTGAATTATGCTTGACTCTTAGAGGAGCCTGGACCCTGGTGGTTCTCTTCCCATTTAAGCTCTATTTCATTTACCTCTTAGGGTTTTCCTTAAGTTTTTAAGTTTTATAAAGCCATGGAAAATTCTACATTGGATCAGACAGTTACATTTCTGTAAAATATAGGTAATGTCACCTGTTCTTTTTTTTTTTTAATGTTCTGTCCCTTTTTTTAATAAAGCTCTTTTATTTTTTAATTTTTTTTAATTTATTTTTTTCCCCCAAAGCCCCAGTAGATAGTCGTATGTCATAGCTGCACATCCTTCTAGTTGCTGTATGTGGGACCCGGCCTCAGCATGGCCGGAGAAGTGGCGTGCACCGGGATCCGAACCCAGGCCGCCAGCAGCGGAGCGCGCGCACTTAACCGCTAAGCCACGGGGCCGGCCCAATGTCACCTATTCTTATTATTGACTCTTTTCTTTAATTGAAGTATAATTGACATACAATATCCTATTAGTTTCAAGTATACATCATAGTGATTTGATATTTATATACATTATGAAATGATCACCACAATAAGTCTGTCGTCATTAAAGTTACAATATTATTGACTGTATTCCCTATACTGTACATTACATCCCCATCATTTATTTATTTTATAACTGGAAGTTTGCACCTCTTAATACCCTTCACCTATTTCACCTGTCTCTCCCAACCCCTCCTCTCTCTCTGGTAACCACCAGTTTGTTTCCTGTATCTATGAGTCTGTTTCTGTTTTGTTTTGTTTGTTTGTTTATTTTATTTTTTAGGTTCCACATATAAGTAAAGTCATATGGTATTTATCTTTCTTGTTTCACTTATTTCACTTAGCATA